TGCTCGGAATCTCCTCGCTGTATATCACTATGCACCGGTCGTGGGAACCGTTATGGCCTTGTTGGGTGAAGCAGCGACGCGGGTTCGATTTCCCGGTCGCTGTATGTTGATTTAAAATTTTCATGAAAAAAAAACATGGAGTCGGGTAATATGGCCAAAGCCTGAAAAAGCGGTATAATATGGCCGAATTCCTGAAAAAGGCGCCTAATTCGGCCAATGCCTGAAAAGGGCGCCTAATTCGGTCTGAGGTGTTCCAGGTGACATCTTGTAGGCGGCTAATGCCGCCAGGTGTTTAAGTTGGCCTGTCAGCGGCATTGAGGGTTGTTACTCGACTCTCTAATCTCTATAGAGAGGAGTTCTCTTGGCAGAGGTCGCCCGTCCGGTAGCCGAGCATGTAGGGGTGCGAAGTTTTGTAGATGTTCGTGTGGCCCGTTATCAGCGCGGTCAAACATGCCGCGCGCTAATCGGGCCACAAATTGCTCGACTGTCTCCATCCTCAAGTTGGTCGCGATGACGTCGTTCCGGACGTAGCGACCTGCACCGACGATGGTCAGTAGTGACAAATTCTGCTGGACCTGTAATCGCCGCTTCTGATGATCGCTCAGGAGCGCGTACCAGGCCGGCGCACCATGTGTGAATCTCGATCTGATGTACGTCTTGTATATTTTTAGCTTCGTCCTGAGTGGTAATTTGGATGCCAGGACCGGACGGAGCGCCGCCCGCGCACATCTGGCTTGCGGACGGCGAGATCGACGTGCGCGGTCATGCACAGCATCTGGTCGATCCGGCACCCCAGGTACGTCACGGCCTTTTCATATGTGATTTCCTGGCCCCTGAGCGTCAACGATGGTGGGAAGTTCCTGAAGCGGCGAGTGAGCAGAGCGGTCGTCTTGCCAACGTTGACGGCCATCCTTCACTTGTCTAGCCATGGTGGCAGCAGGTCCAACAGGCGCTGCATCCTGGCAGTGGCTATGTGGGCTCTTCTAGACGATGTGAAGTAGGCACTATCGTCCGCGTATAGCGCTAATTCAACATCGCGTTCCCATTCGCGCAGGTGGTCTGCCAGGGTGGGGATGTCATTGGTGTAAGCCGCGTACAGGATCGGCGACAGACAGCTGCCCTGCGGTACGCCGGCTCTAATTGGTCTCGCTGCGGACTCGGCGTCCTCTACACAGACGTAGAACTTCCTATCTCTGAGGAATGACGCCACTAGCCGCAACATAGCAGGAGGGGTACTTGTTTGTGTTTCTAATTTATAAAGTAGTCCAGTGTGCCACACTCTCTCGAACGCCTTCTCTATGACGAGAAAGACGCCCAACGATGTGCGGCCGCGGTTATACTCGGCCGCAAGATAGTGCAGCACCCTGGTCAGCTGTGTTGCTGTTGAGTGGCCCCTCCTGAATCCGTGCTGTTCCACCCGAAGTTGTACGCACGGGCGGAAGCTTCTTAGCAGCAATCTTTCGCACAGTTTAGCTAAGTGCGGTAGCAACGTGATCGGCCTATAACTGGCTGCTCTACGCCTGTCCTTCCCGGGTTTCGGCAGAACGATCACTTTGCCGATTTTCCAGTCCTCCGGGAAGTGGGATGCCCGCAGTATACCATTGTAGAGTCGACCTAGCTCTTCAAGTGTTCTATTGGGCAGCTGTCGAAGTGCTGCGTTGGTTATCCCGTCGTGCCCCGGCGCCTTTCTGGGTTGCAGGCGGGCTACTGTACTCCGCAATAGGGCGGGGGATATAAACCACTGGCGCAGGCGATGACAGGAACTCCTGTACGCGGCTCTCCTTCCGGGTATGTAGTTCCACGAACTCCGCACTTGCTGGGTTCGGCATAAATTGCTCCTCGAAGTGCTCTACTAGGATTTCCGCTTTACCTTTGGCCTCGTAACAACGTTCGCCCGCGTTGTTGGTCATTCCCTCCACCATCCCATGGTCCTTCTCGCCTTGCGGCATACGGACCGAATCACGGGAGACGCACATGGTACTTGCTCGGCACTCTTTCCCATGTGCGCTTACTTGACTCCCTACAAATCTCTCTGTTCCGTCCCTTTTCTCTACATTTCACTTCTCTCCCTTCTGGGGCGTGACTCCACAGCGACGACACTTCGCGTTCGCAGCTATCTCATACTGTTTCCTTTTGTGATGCCATGCATGCGCAAATCTCCTAAACTCCTTAAAGTTGGATTCGCAGCACACTAGGTCCCGGAAGTATACTGGTCCTATTTCTGTTCTTTGTAGGCTGTCCAATAATGCGTTCCTCTCTTCAATATACAGATCGCAATCCCAGAGAGCATGGTCACGACTCTCCAGTGCTGAGCCGCAGGGGCATAAGCCAGAGTTCCTAAGGTTGAATTTTAGGAGACGCTCGTTGAAACACCCGTGACCAACAAGAATCTGCGATAATGCATAATCGGGCTCGACCCACCTGAAGAATAGACGCTCTGCGATGTCCGGGAAAAACTTGTACAGATCCCTGCCATCTTGGCTTGAATCCCACCGGTCCTGCCAAATGGCAACGACGTCGAGTCGACCAGACCCGTCCCCTCCTCGTCGACTCGTCCCGCACGAAAAACTTCCAGGTTGGCAGGCAATACGCCCGCCAACACCGGTAGCGCTGCGTTGCTAGCCGTCCTGTATGCCTTCGTGAGAAGAATCAAAGCTGGTCTTTGCGTCCTCATCAGTATGCTTCTGATAACATAAAGGGACGAGCGTTGGTACCATACGGCAGCAGCATTTGTCAACATTGCCACATTGGTCCCTGAATACAGGACTCTAAGGGCGTGAAATCTTATGCCCCAGGTCGATGAAGACAATCGCGACATCTTCCCGAAGCAAGCAGCGGCCTTCTCGCCGATATATAATGCATGCTGCACATAGGACCTAGCCTCGTCCAAAATTATTCCTAGGGCTCTTGCCTGTGAAACACTCGTGATCGTTGCACCGTCCATCTTTATAATTGGTCCACGTTTAAATTTGCCCTTATAGGTCATCGTTTGTGACTTCCCGGTAGAAAACCCATGTCCGTTACGAATACCCCACTCGGACGCGGCAGCGATCGTAGCAGCCGCTTTGCGCTCTATTGCGGAACGAGACGATGCTTCGACCACGATCGTCACATCGCCGGCGTAAGCAACGAAGTGTACTCCTTCGGGTGTTGGCAGCTTCAGGAGGTCATCGAGTAGGAGGTTCCATAGGGTTGGTCCCAGCACCGACCCCTGAGGACAGCCCATCGTGGAGACCTTCCACACTACCCGGTTTCCAGCAAACAGTCCTACACGGCGATTTATAAAGTAACTCGTTAAAATACCGTAAATGTTAGGTGGAACGCCACATTGCTTTGCCTTGAGTAGGACCATTGACCAGGCATTGTCAAAGGCTCCAGATATGTCCAGAAGGATCAGTTGCACGTAATTCTCGGTTGATCCGTTGGTAATTCGGTTGATGGTATTAAGGGCGGTCACTGTGGATCGGCCACGCGTGAAGCCATGTTGTGCATCGGAGATTCCGCGGTAGAGACATGGAGCGCAGGAGATGATCACACGCTCTAGAATTTTTCCCAATATGGGCAGCAAAGTTATCGGGCGGTAGGCTTTAGGGTCAGTGAGCGTCCTGTCGCCACCCTTTGGCTGAACAACGAGTTGGCCCATCTTCCACAGATCCGGAAAAACGCCCTCGACTATGCACGCCCTAAACATGTGCCAGATCTCGTCACCAGTTACCGGCCATGCCTGTCTAACAATCTTAGCCGTGATACCATCAATGCCGGGTGCAGTGTTCGGCAGTTCGAATGATGAGTCCAACTTGTTCTTTGGTTGGTGGAGTAGCATCAGTTCCAGATGGAGCACATGCAGCAGTGATCTGCACTTGTCGATGGTATACAGTGTCCCTGGCTAGATTATCGCCTGGGCATAAGGCATTGACGAGGCCAAGCATGGTGTCTCCGGTCCTCCTAGTATAGCCGTCAGCTAATCTCACTCCATTTAGCACGTTGAGAGGTGGACGAAATCGTCCACTGGCTGTTCGGTAAGCCAGGCCCCACGGATCGGCGTTACCTGATTCCACGACAGAGCGGAAGAAGGCAAGTTCAGCTTCCTTCATAGCTAGCTTGCAGCGTATCCTTGTTCGTCGGAGATAATAATGTAGAGCCTTCTCCCTGTCGCCTTCTATGCGACGTGAGGCCTGCCACTTACGACGTGCACAATAGACCTCGTTACGCATACGGTCAAGAGCCGGAGACCACCACTCGTACCCTTCTTTCTCCTTTTTCGCACGTGTACCTAATCGTTCTCTCCCAGTACGTAGAAGTATTGCAGAGTACTGCTCGCAAATATCATTAGCTGGCCGCGTTAGCCTCAGTTGGGACATGCGGGCGTGCAGAGTCGAACAAAATCCTCCCCAGTTCAGATCACGTTCACGAAAGTAACATACGTTATCTGAAAATTCTGTGCCATCGTACACCCGTGAGTCACCAAGTATAACGCCAAATGTTATCAACTGGTGGTCACTTACACTGACACACTCATGCACCTTCCAGTCAGTAACCCTCACACTACGTGTGGAGATGGTGATATCCACAATGGACGAGCCATTTGGGCTATGAAAGGTTGGCGGTTGACCCTCCACATTATGTACCAGCAAATTCCGTCCGAGGATGAATCCTTCCATTTGGAGTTTGCGGTATTCTGTGTCGGGGCCGCGACCTACATATTGCCTGCGCTCGCAACTGTCAGCCGCCAAAATCTTCCAAGAGCTGCACAATGTGACGCGTCAACATATTGTGAAACAGTATACTATGAAGGATAATTATAATATATTGTAACTTCAGGTTCAGAAGGGCTAGATCCCACAGCCGTAAAGCCAGTTATTAAAAAAATGACATAGCATATTTATTTATCTATGGCTATGGTTGGACAATTTAGTTTTTGATTTGACTAGTAAATTAGGAAAGATCACGATTTTGTTATTGATTGATATTGAATACATTCATTGTATATTATTATAAATATGTCTTTAACGAAAACAAACAAAAAGTTTAAGTGGGCTTTAGACTTCAGTCAAAAGTAAGTAACTATATCTACATAAAACGATATTGTTAACGCTAATAGTTTTTATATAATATTAATATTTTCAGATCTCGTGCTTCAGCGAGTGACTTACCATCGCCTCCGGGCTACAGTCAGGCTGCAAATGCTAACTATTCAGAATCATCAAAAGAGACAGATTCGAACCTACTTCTAATTAAGAAATTATGGGATGTTGCTCTGGGGCCATTGAAACAAGTGCCTATGAACCTTTTTATTATGTACATGGCAGGAAATTCAATATCAATTTTCCCAATAATGATGGTAGGAATGTTGATTGTTCGACCAATAAAAGCTTTGTTTGCCACACAAAGTACCTTCAAAATGGTTGAAGGCACACAAGCAGCTGGTCAAAAATTTGTCTATTTTATTGGAAATATTGTGAATATATTATTGGCCCTTTATAAATGTCAAAGTATGGGATTATTACCTACACATTCCAGTGATTGGTTAGCTTTCGAGGAACCACTAACAAGGGTTGAACATATTGGAGGTGGTATCTCAATGTTATAAAAAATATATGGTAATATTTAAAATATACACTGTTTATTTAAATAATTGTTTGCTAGGGCTAATATGTTGTATTTACAATAATAAAATGTTTTAATTTAAAGTCTATTTCATTTCCGCATTCTTTGCACCATTAATCACCTCCTTTCTTTCCATCACTGAACTCTGCGAGTTTAGTTTTGACAAATGTTTGTGCCTTTTCCAAAAGAGCTTTGGGGTCTTCAACTTTATCAATCTGTAAATAGAAAAAATATAAAATGTTTATGGTAAGCAAGCTTTTACAAATGTTGCATTAACTGATTTGTTGCGACACCAATTTTCGAAAACTTCTAGCTGTGGTGGCGAACAAATATTTTGTGATACGCTTGTCATGTTTAACATCATAGGAGTTGATGACACACTTATTTAACCATCAGCCATGTGTAAAAAAATGTCCTTTTTATGCTATTTTTTACTCGTTTAGACCTGATTAAGTTTAGTTGATTATTGTATGTAACATAGCAATGATTTTTTTATTTTTTTTTAGAATTAAATCGAAACCGAAATTATATTCCTGAGACAGATATTGATGACGACAAAACTTAATGTCAGGATGTCTGATAAGTAATGATAGCAAAACAAGTGTTTTCAGAAAGAAGAAAACAATAGCTTGATGCTCCGGCATTGTGCAGGCCGGACGGCGGACGAACAATATACTCCAAGTTTTTTTGCAAACTTTATTATGCATATATGCATTCGAACTGTTTTAAGCAAAAATAAACCTTATGCCATACCACAAGAGCACATGGTACTTCATAGGCCCATTTGGATGATAATAAGACTGCAGTTTAGCCATTTTAAGCAAAATTAAACCATAAGACAAATATATTATGGTCTTTTTTAACAGGAGACTCCAGAAACTTGTTTACAACTTAAGTTTGTGTGTGATAGCATTGAGTAGTATTATTTGTTACTTATTCAGGAGACTCCAGAAACTTGTTTACAACTTAAGTTTGTGTGTGATAGCATTGAGTAGTATTATTTGTTACTTATTAGAGTATTTTTCCACAACATGATTTAAAAAATGCCACACAGTAAAAAAGAGTGCCATCCACAAGGAGCCATGAACTACTTGCAAAATAATAAATATTTTGTTTGTGATAAATCTTCCGAAAATGTAATTTGTATAACGATTTTTAAAATGACACAACTCGTGTGTCATACGCCACACAAAAAAATCCATCCACAAGAAATCGGTTAAACAACCATAATACTGCTTACTATAAGTGTATATAATGCAACCACTTCATATATTATAAATACATATAATATGCCTTGTTATATAAATATTATACACTTTTCATATTAATTACAGATTTGCTAAATATTTAAAATGCAGTTATTATGTTTAAACCTAAGTGTGTTGCAGCTATTAAAACTATGAGAATCAAGAATTTGTCTAGCAATTAAGTTCCTGGTTTAATGTTTGATACTATAAGATGTCTACGAAATACTAACAAAATAATTAAAAATAACAAACCATTTTTTTTTCCAAAAGCCTTGTCGCATTCCCTAATAGTTTTCTTACAAATTAATGAAACAGCACCCTGCATTAAGAAAATATTTTAAGACACAAGGTCTATGCTAAGGATCTAACAGTTTTGTTATTTAGGTTCAATTATATTATTGTTAACAAAAGAGGCCATACAATAAGCACTTTTTCAAACACATTGAACCAGGAACAATGTTAATTATTTCGAAAATAACAGTCACAAAATTTAAAGGCCAGTGGTCCACAAATTTACAGGCATGGCCTCCTTTGTACTAGTGCTTCATTTTAAACAGCTTATACTCAAAATGTATGTTTAGCATTAAATGTTTAGATATTAATTACAAGAATGATGTTAAAAAAAGTGTTAAGTAACAATAAAGATAGTGTATCAAATTTTATTCACTTGTTAATCTTGGCAAACATGATAAAATTCCAATAAAATTTATCAAATTTTTTAATTCCATATTCCAGTTAGAAAATTAAGATTAATATTAGAGATGTATCTGTTAACTTCTATTAGAAATTATTTTCCAAATGTAAAAGAAAGAAACTATTACCTTACTGTTAAAAAACTGCAGGTTTAGAAAGAATTTTTTATTAATTATTATTAGTTCAAAAAATTAAAGAAATGCTAACAATATAGATCAATATTGTATTTAAGTAGGTCATTCGATTTGAAAAATAACATCAAATATATATATATATATTTAAAGGATAAGGGTGACAAACAAGCACACAGTTCACCTAATGGTAAGTAGTTGCTGTGGCCCATAGACATCTACATCTGTCCTCAATAATGAATCAAAATGAAGATGCAATATCACCCGTGAGGACTAAGATAGAATGCCTCGTTTCCAGTAAAAAGGGTCTCCGGTTCTCTACACTCACTATACAAAACACAGCTGCAATAAGCATATACCTAAAACCTACTTTGTATTATCCGTTTCTTTGTTTACCTGATAATTTTGTGCTATGTATACACCGGCATAGACACCAGTTCCAAAAATAATCTGAAAAAGAATATAAAAAAAACGTCATGAACATAAATAAATGAAGTGAGATGTGTTGAAGAAGTTAATATATGAGGGGGTTGTTGTATACTATGAATGATGTTATAATCGTATGAAATATTATCGAGCAAAAGCTTGCTCCTATAATATTTTATACCATCTTACCTATTTCTGCCACAAGCACATTCACTAATATGATCTAATTGAATGACTAAGAAAGCTTATATACTCAGGGGTCTATGGGCTACAATAGACACTTGCTATCAGATAAGACTATAAGCTCATTTATTGTTAAGTGCACAAAAAATAATGATGTTACAGTAATAATAATACATATTTTAATTTATTAACATAAGCAGAAATATTTTGGTTATGACATAGTTTATATATTAGGTGTTACATGCTGTAATCATAACTAAGAAACTATTGATTACAACAAACTCACACTTGTTTTAAAAATGGACCAATAGCAGCCCATACCCATATTATTTAAAATGATTTCTATACAAATATCCACTTTAGTTTTGGGAAAATATAAAAAAGCTTATAGAAAATTTACTCAAAATATAATTTTACATGTTTATTAAAATGTCACTATGACTTTAATTTTTTTTTAGTTATGACAATTGTAGATTATAAACATCATCATCATCATCACTTATAAAAAAAGAGGTTCCAATATGTTTTGTGTATCATGTATAATACTCAAAGATTGTTTTTAACTTGCTAATCATACAGTAATCATATGGTTAAAAAATAATTATTCATCCAAGTTCTTAAAATTAAAAATTTAATTCTCTCAATATTGTATTTTAATTTAGGTTATTGATTAGGTTATAATTTATGTGGGTTTTAAGTGGTTATTATATTTATTTTAAATATTTATTTAAATATATTGGATGAATAAAAATAAATAAATCATATGATAATCATATATACAAGAAAAAATTGATCATTCAATTATTTTTGAACAGATACTTACTTTTTTAAACAAATAATATTTTGATAGTGATGCTAAATTATTTGATATATGTTTTTAAAATGCTTTTTACATGGTTGATATCGTAATAGCTCAAAGTGGTTCTTTAAGCTACATGACAACCGAATTAGAAGGAAGAATCCCTTGTGGCAATTTTGTACTGGTGAACTAAGTGTGAATCGGCCCTCGATCTAACCACGATTTGGTAAGAGATTCAGGATTCTGATGGATGTAAGTTGCTCAAGACTGTGTTTCGTGACATCCCTTGGGTCAGTGGACTTGTGTGTGTAATATTGATAAGGTTGTAAAAAAATTAAGTACTTTTAAAGCAATAACTTCTTTTTAAAAATAATTTTAAACATTTATTTTGGGTATTTGTGTAGGTATACTTCTTCTTTTTATTTATGGTAATTTCGTAATGAATTCAGGCTATACTATAGTATATAATTGTTGGACAATAAAGCAGATAATGTGCCACTGTAGTTAAAAAATAAACAAAAATATTGAAGGGCAAATATTTCTACGTAACGTTTTCAAAATAACACTCACCACTCCTTTCAACATTTTCATATATATTTAGATGTTATTTCTTAATTTAAAAACAGTATTGAAGCAATTGTGTGGACTAAAGAGTTAACTCTGCTTTTAGTTAATATTTATTCAGTCACTGAAAATGGATAATTTTTTGTATTGACAGTTTGACAGCTGATTTTGAACAAAGCATAGTTTTTGTCCACCTGAACAGATAAGTTGGTGGCACTATATGTAGCAAGATACCGTAGACAGCAAACAAAGCATCATAATTGTATACTATAGTCTATGCGTTATAGCATGGTCATATTATTATTTATTCTGTGGCATGGTGCGGATTACAGCCGTAGATAGAGGATTGACTAGATAAAGCATTCGCGTATGCTTTTGAGATAGAAATAGGCGGGAGGTACTTTCACTGGGTTACCAGATATTGTTCCATTTCCCCCGTTATGGGCTTATTTATATTCACATCACTTACATTCATAGAAAAAACTTAATTGTTACCATAAAAAAATGTTCTTTTATAATTCAGATGATTAATTAATTCCTCTTGAAAATACATTCTGTGACAAAAACTACAGGCGGAAACGGCGTAAAAACAGAATCATCATTCTGTATTCAACGGCGCATCGACGATTTTACTGGACATTCAATAAACTCTTTGGATTTCGCCGGCACTAAGTGAAGGCGCTAATAGCACAAAGTGTGATATCGCTAATAAATAACAATATGTTATGTATGTACTTAAATATTAATTGAGAATAAAAATATTAAATAATAAACAAAAATTTTCTTGTCGAGTTTTGTTGTTATTAAAAAAAAATCAATAATATTTTAACATACCATTCCATCACAAGTTCAGTGCTGAACACAGACCTTCGAAAAGAAAGGGTTTCCACTTAGGTTTTGTAGTACAAAACACGGTTATGAGCCTACTCCCGAGATTTCC